AGATTTAGATTGAAATCGAATAATTCTATTTCAATAGCTTGGATGTAATAAAAGGGTATTGATTTATTATAAATATTATACAAAAATTGTATTATATCACTGGAACGAAACATATCATAAATTGGTGACCAAAACCCTATGTAATCGAATCGAAAAATGGTTTACATAACATAATATGAATGTGAATAAAATATAGGACGTGATGGTGATAATTAATTGCCAATGATGAGCTAGATTCTTTTTACCATTAGTAGGAAAACTAAAAATGATTAGATTAGAATAGAATCATTTGAATTCAATACAGATTATAAGAATACTAATTGAAAGAAATTTAAGTTATACCACTGGTTCCTAACAAGTTCCTGGATAAATTGCCTATGGCTTTGTTAATGAAATGTAGATCGGTACATTTTTGCTGAATAACCGTTCGTTACAACTTTTTACATGCCTGATTTAAGATCTTAGCGCTTAGCGCCTCTCGAATGTTCTTTTTTATTGATATTTTGATATGCGTAGTAGGAATGAGATTATGGTCTCCGCATCACTTCAAGAAATTTAGAGATGTTATGCGCGCTTGGTCTCGAGATTTTCTAACCGTCGAATTTTGTTTGACCATGAGCGCCGGAAAGTGCCCGAAAGGTCGGGAAATAAAAAAAGAATTAAACATGATAAAATCCGTAAAATTAGTTTTATTCCTTGGTTTATACGAAGTTGAAAGAATGGCCTCAAAGACTTGTTAGCATAACTCAGATAACGCTATGGTTTTGGGATTGGTTACAATAAGATTTTTAACTTCCCGCTATGAAAATCAATGGTTTTCAAAATATGGTAATATTATTGCTTTCGCCCCGCTTTTTAAAATTGAATTCTCATCAGATCTTAACGTTTCGAGGTCCCAGGAAGCTATTGCGATGACGTCCGTATGTGTGTGTATGTGTTCATGTGTTCGTGCGAGCGTTGCACGCGCGCAAAACCTCTAACATTCGAGTATTTTTAATTTTCTAAAGGTAGTTTTCTTGGAATTACTTCAATATGCACGTTTTGATCAATTATTCTTAATCGCTCTTCTACTCAAAAAACGACGTCGATTACCGTGAATCGCATTTAAATCGGTTGATTCTTTCGAGAGATATCGTTGACGAAAGAAATCTCGAAAGAGTGTGTTTTGAAACCTGAAAAATGAAAACTTTCCGTGAAATATTTTTTTATGTATAAGTGGAATTTGCAGCGTTCTGATATTGAAATTAGCGGAATATTCTAGGGATGGCCTGCTGTTTCAACCGATTTTTTTAATAAGATATTTCAACAAGGCTCTCCACCACAATAAAATAACATAAATAACAAGAAAAAATAATGGACTCTTTTCTATACGATTAAATTACTAACGATATTGAAAAAATATATATGTTTGAAAAAACCTCCAGCGAGTTATTCGATACCGTGTTTTATAACAGATGCGGGGAAAAAAAGCAACGTTTAATGCTAAAGCCCACAATCACGATATATTTTATGGAATATTACTTCAAATTTCATGACAAAACAGCAACGTCGGGATAACATTTAACAAAAAATTTCAACTTAATGTATTTCGTCTGTTTTAGTATGAAATTTACTATGTTAGAAAAGTAACCTGTGATGATTTTAATGAGACAAAATCGTATAAAATATACAGTCGCTATGAGGAGGTCAGAGATTTAATAAAGTAAACATGGACAAGTTCTTTACTTGTTACTTTCTCAACTGTATACGAAAAAAATAATTTCCACGAGGCGTTTATCGAATTTCATGATTTATTTAAATTATTTTTTGATCTTTGCTTCCAAATACACACAGTAAAGAGGGCAACTAAAAAGGGATCTTTGGATTTTCTGAGGATTTTCTGAGGTGTTTCTGAACTGAGGATTTTCTAATGCCCTTCGAGAAAATCCTGTAAAAGGAAAAGATATCTCTATCTCAGTTAAAACATAATAAAACAAACGGAAAAATAGTAAAAATATAAATCATGTAGTTACATACCTAAAAAGTGCATATATAAATCGAGACAAATACAAAGTAAGAAATATATTAACTATAATAAAAATAAAAGCCATATGGGCGGTAATTAATGAAAATATTGACGACCAAAATACGAAAACACAAATTGACAGAATAATAAAAAAAAATATCGGATATATGACAACCCAAAGAAAATAAATCATATATTTAATGACTTTTATATAAAGTTGACAAATAACAATAAGTTTAAATATAATGTCGACGAAATAAACAAAGCTATCACGACTACCATATTATATACATACCATATTCCTTAAACCTACTGATGCTATGGAAATATTTCGAATGATTAAAAGTCTTAATAACACGAACGCAGTAGTATTTGATGAAATAACAACCACTGAAATTGAATTATCCGCACGATACATAAGTCAACCGCTACGTTATTTAATTAATATGTCTTTCGAAGAAGGTACCTTCCCAAATATATTGAAAAAATCAATCACTAAGCTACTTTTTAAGAAAGACGAAACATATAAAATGAATAATTATAGGCCAGTGATGCGGATATATATCCATTTTGTCAAAAATTGTTAGCATGTTTTAATTTGATTAAAATAGTCACCCAGGCTATAAATGATGGCCTTCCAGTTGCGATCTTCCTGGACATGAGCAAGGCGTTCGATTTTGTGGAACACAAATTGCTCTTACGCAAATTAGAAAAATATGGGATAACAAGTAAAGCTAACGACTGGTTGCTGAGTATAATGTTGGATCAAAATCGGATGGACAAAATTGGATATGTCGATTACGTTTGTGACAAACTCGACAGATTTGTCTATGCAATAAAAAGATTATCGAGTCACGGTATCAACTGATGCTGCTCTATATGCATATCACGGATATGTTTCGTCCGTACTCTCATATGGTCTTTTATTGTGGGGCAATTCAGTAGATATAGTAAAAGTATTTAAAGTACAAAAAAATTTGTGCGTGCAATCTATGGAGCTTGGTATACGGAAAGATATAAGCCCTTGTTTGAAAATATCAATATCTTGACATTAACATGCTTGTATATTAAAGAAGTATGCATATTTGTAAAACAACATCCTGAACAATTTAAAAGGGATATAGATGTAACTGGACGAAATGTAGCTCCTAGAAATAAAAAACTATATTTACCTCAATGCAGGCTCAAATTATATGAAAGAAACTCTTACGTAAATGCTATAAAGGTATATAACATAAACAAAAATTTTAACAAAATAGAATACCGACTTCAAAACAAAATATTTTAAAACAATAAATGCACTAAAAATTTTAAAAATAATTGCGTATTCTTGTATCTACAACTTACAATCAACTTATTTTTTCTACTCAATGTACGATCTATGCGTTTACCACGCAAGAAGGTAGGTACCGACTTAAACTTCACATCTAACTCAACACATATCTATGATTCACAAACAATTATCAAAATATTTTTTAGAGTTCAACTAAGCAAAAATTTTCAAATATATGTGTAGACTGCTTAAAAGACAATCAAATTATTAGGATAATATAATCTACAATTATTGTCATTTTTGGAGTCGGTGTCAGCCAAGGTATATTTCTAACTACTTAAACGTGAGATGTCTTACTATAATCATAACATAGATAACAATTGGCATACACAATTTACACACATAGACGCAGCACTCGGCGCGGGCTTATCGACTCGGGCGCGGGGAAGGAGGGTGGGAAGGCTACAGAAGTGAGCGAGCCAAACGCGTACGCCGGCCATTCGCCAGTCAAGAAAAAGAACATATACGAGTTACTTGATTATAAACCGATTCCGATTCTTTTTCATTCTACACCGTCTTTCTTACTGTAATTCCTTATGTTTATTATTAAAGCTACATTTTCGTATAAAGGTTGCTAGATATTGTCACAGCATTTGTCGTATTAATATTCGTCTATAAGTAGGTTTAATTAAGTATTGTTATTTTGTTGCATTAAGGTTGTTAGAAAGGTATTGTCACAGCATATTGTCGTATTGAAGTTAATTTGGAAATAGGTTAATTATATATTGGTATTTTATTGTATTAAGGTTAACAGATAAGTATTGTCACAGCATTTTGTCATATTAATGTTCATTTATAAATAGGTTTAATTAGGTATTGGTATTTTGTTTTTTGTAATAAGGTTATTAGGTACTATCACAGCATATTGTCGTATTAATGTTCATTTATGAATAGGTTTAATTAGGTATTGGTGTTTTGTTGCATTAAGGTTGTTAGATAGGTAATGTCATTGGTACCTATTTTGTTATTAGGGTTGTTAGATAGGTATTGTCACAGAATATTATTGTATTAAAATTAATTTGGAAATAGGTTAATTATTTTTGGTATTTCGTTGTATTAAGGTTGTTACTTAGGTATTGTCACATCACATTGTATTTAAGTTAATTTGTAAATAGGATTAATTAGGTTATTGGTATTTTGTTTATTGTATTAATGTTGTTACATAGGTATTGTCACACCATATTTTCGTATTAAAGCGTATTTCCAGGAATTCTCGTATTATTATTGCTAGGTACATTGTCGTATTTCCTTGGCTGACACCGACTCCAAAAATGACAATAATTGTAGATTATATTATCCTAATAATTTGATTGTCTTTTAAGCAGTCTACACATATATTTGAAAATTTTTGCTTAGTTGAACTCTAAAAAATATTTTGATAATTGTTTGTGAATCATAGATATGTGTTGAGTTAGATGTGAAGTTTAAGTCGGTACCTACCTTCTTGCGTGGTAAACGCATAGATCGTACATTGAGTAGAAAAAAATAAGTTGATTGTAAGTTGTAGATACAAGAATACGCAATTATTTTTAAAATTTTTAGTGCATTTATTGTTTTAAAATATTTTGTTTTGAAGTCGGTATTCTATTTTGTTAAAATTTTTGTTTATTTTTCTATTTTTAGTGATTCTGAAGTTCGATAACTGATTTTATTTGTTTGAAAATGGGTAGACCTAGCAAACGCGCTGCTCATATGAGACAGCACCGTTTAAATGAGACAAACGAAGAAAGGGAGAAACGTCTATCTCAAAAGAGGAAATCTACCTCAATTGACATTTCAAAAGAGACTTGTGAAGAGCGCAAAAATAGGCTTTCAATAATGCGGGCTTACATGAAAAAAGTTTTGTACAGGGAAAATATCGAAAAACGTACTCTCCGTCTCGGCCTGATCCACGATCGCCTATCGAATGAGACGGAAGAACAACGTGCCCACCGCCTCGGCGTGATCCACAATCGTCTATTGAATGAGACGCAAGAGCAACGTGCCCACCGCCTTGGCATGATCCACGATCGTCTATCAAATGAGACGCAAGAGCAACGTGCTCACCGCCTTAGCATGATCCACGATCGTCTATCGAACGAGACGCAAGAGGAACTTGCCCACCGCCTTGTCAAGATCCACGATCGTCTATCGAATTAGCCGCAAGAGCAACGTGCTCACCGCCTTAGCATGATCCACGATCGTCTATCGAACGAGACGGAAGAGCAACGTGCTCACCGCCTCGGTGTGATCCACGATCGTCTATCGAACGAGACGGAAGAGCAACGTGCTCACCGCCTCGGTGTGATCCACGATCGTCTGTCGAACGAGACGGAAGAGCAACGTGCTCACCGCCTCGGTGTGATCCACGATCGTCTATCGAATGAGACGGAAGCGCAACGTGCCCACCGCCTCGGCGTCATCCACGATCGTCTATCGAACGAGACAGAAGAGCAACGTGCTCACCGCCTCGGTGTGATCCACGATCGTCTATCGAATGAGACGGAAGAGCAACGTGCCCACCGACTCGGATTGATTCGCGATCGCTTATCAAACGAAACACCTGAAACTCGTTCAGATCGACTTAGTAGAATGCAACAAGCTAATCAAGCTTGTAGGGACATCACAAATGAACAATCTTTTGAAGCGGCTATTAATATTTTTGCTGATGTACCATGCGCCGTTTGTAAAAGAAGCCTTTATCCTCAACAGCGTTCCAATTTACGAGCAAATATGTATAGTATACTATTACCTGAAGAACTGGTTGCTTTAGGTACAATAACTACGTGCTCTCGATGTAGCAATAATATTAGGAAAAGAAAAATTCCAACAACTGCATATTGGAATAAAATGATGCCCGCAGAAGTACCGCCTGAATTAGTCAATTTGACGAGCGTTGAAGAACGATTTTTAAGCCGCATCGTACCGTTTTTAAAGATTGTAAAACTTAGTAACCGGTTCAGTCAAAATTGGTGTAAAGGGCAGGTCATTCTATTTGCAAAGGATGTTGTGGAAATTGCTGAACAGTTACCACTGACACCAAATCAAGCTGGTTTAGTTTTGGTAGTGGAAAGTCTCGAGAACCTTTCATGTTCTAAAGAATTCGTCGTGGATATGCAAAGACTGAATCGAGCATTAACTTGGTTAATTTCCAATAATCATCTTTACAGCGATGTTCAGGTACATTTTGAAACTACTTTAAATATTCCTCATATATTACAAATAGCTGAAAAATCTATTCCTGAACAGGATGGCGTTGCTTCTGAAACTTTATCACAACATTATATCACTTTAAATGACAACGGCAATATTACGCGGATCATTTAATCAAGGTGATTTACGATTTAATTTATCTCGGGGTAAGCAATGTACTGGGATAGCGGCTGTTGCTTGTGCAGCATTTAGTGTATTAGATCCAAACAAGTGGGCCAAAAGTGATATTGATTACATTGTAATTATTGGCGATAAATACTATAATGACTGCATCGCTGCTAGAGATAATCCTGCGCCCGGCGAAGTAAATCCTGAGTACCTTGCTGTTTCAGATCTTAGTCCAAGACTTATATATAATAGACAAAATTTAGTGATCACAGTACTTGAGGAAACCAATCATAATGGCCACATAGACAATGATAATACTTCCGATGGATTTCCTAATTTAAAAAATGCATTATTAAGTTTTTTCAGAGAACACTCCAATGGGATACTTACAGCAAACGCCATATCGATAGCAGTGCATTGCAGAACTTTAGGTGACAATCAAACTTACTTTTTGTTTGATTCCCATGCAAGGGGTCCCAAGGGGGGCTTCCGCTTCCATAAATGGTACCGCTTGTTGCATGCGATTTAGTGAACTGGATGATTTGCATGCTATTTTACGTCGCAATTTATTTGTGTCGCCAAAAAAAGTGCCAGAAGGAAACTTTCGAGATAATCTTAATGTATTCTCGTTAACATCATTAGTTATAGCTCGAGACTCCCAAAGACAAACAATTACGCCAATATTGGAACAATCGTCAAGGTTAGAGAGTCCAACATTTACACCAAACGATTCCCTCCAACCGATAATACAAACAGCTCGAGACTCCCAAATACAAACGATTACGCCAATATTGGAACATTCGTCAAGGTTAGAGTCCAACATTTACACCAAACTATTCCCTCCAACCAATAATACAAACAAGTAATACCCTCCAAACAACAACACAAGTCATTCGGTCTATCCAAAAAACAGTTCCGGTAAAATCAACCCATTTTCAGTTGCCATTACCAGTCCATAACTCCTTAAGCACCATTTATATCGAATCAACAGGTATGCTCCAAAATATAGACGATAACGTACCTAATTTAGAAAATGTTGTTAATATGAATAGCTCTTCAACCGATGATACAATGAGATTGGCCGCAATCACAAGGAAAACTGCACCTCCCTTGAATTTGGAACGTGAACGCCGTATGGAGGAATTATGTTGGTATTTTCTTTTTCCAAATGGCAGGAATGGCTTTGGCGAGGAAAGAGAAAATGCGTGTACCCCCCCTTGATTACTTTCAAAACCGGGTAATGAGTATTGACAAGAGGTTCAACAGAAATGATTATTTATTTTATGCTCTATCCATTGTTGAATATTTTCGTGCAAAATCAAGCGTATCTGTGTCATGTAGGATGCGACAAGGTCATGGAGAGCAAACACCACAGGGACTTGTAGATAATATGCATCTCACTATGAGAAATATTCGAGGATCGGCATCATATTGGCAGAAATGTTGCTCTGAATTGATTGCCATGGTTAGAACTTTAGGGCCTCCCACATGGTTTTTAACATTTTCCTGCAATGATTTAAATTGGCCAGACATGATAAAAGCCTTGCTTATCGCTGATGGACGTGATATCGATGACGTCGATCGCCTGTCATTCCCGGAGCGCTTGAACCTAGTGCAAAAACATCCGGTAGTGTTAGCACGACAGTTCACAGTACGTGTTAACGCTCTCATGCGATTCTTAAAGAGAAATAAAGATTGCTTGGGTGGTCTTATTGAAGATTTTTGGTACCGAGTGGAGTTTCAAAACCGCGGTAGCCCACATCTGCATATGTTAGTCTGGTGTAGTAATGTTCCGAATTTCACCACTCCAGAAGGAGTTGCTGTAATTGAAAGGGTGGTTTCATGTTCATTAACTCCTAATGACCTTGTGTTGCGCAAATTAGTTGAGGATTTACAGATTCATAAACACACTGCGACATGCAAAAAAAAATCGCCAAACTGATGGTTGTCGATTTGATTTTCCAAAGCCAGCAAGTGTTAACACCGTTTGTCTTGGACCAGATGAAGCACTTGCTAACAATGGACGATTTTGTATATTGAAACGAACCTCAAATGAAACCATGGTAAACAATTACAATGCAGTTCTTTTAAATCTATGGAAGGGAAATATTGACGTGCAACCGTGTGGTAATGTCACCGCTGTGGCCTACTACGTCGCAAAATATGCCAGTAAATGCGAACCACATGACACAGGTGATGTAATTCGAGAAGCTATTTCGAATGCTAAGAGACAAGGTGGTGATGTTTGGAAACAATTGTTTTCAATATCAATGACTATTTTAAATAAACGCTTGGTGAGTGCGCCCGAATGCGCTTACAGATTATGCCATTTGCCATTGAAAATGTCGTCGCGAAAGACTGTTTTTGTGAATAGTTGCAGGCCGGAGGAACGTTACAGACTCCTGAGATTTGATAGTGATGAAACCAGTATTTACAATAATATTTTTGATCGTTATGTATTACGCCCAAACGAGCTGGAGAATTTAAGCCTTGCGGAATTTGCCGTCCGTTTTGAAACCGTCTCTAAAACGACATGGTCAGAGGACAATGGGGATGCGGAACTGAGAGGCGAAGATATTACGCCAGAGAGGTATATCAGATTGCAGGACAATACGAGATTGCGTGTAAGAAATAGACCGGCAGTGTTACGTACCCGCTATTATACAATTAATAGTGACAAAGAAGCATATTATTACAGTTTATTAGTATGCCATATACCATTTCGTAATGAAGGCGAATTACTTTTCGAAAATGAAACCGCTGAAGACTGTTTTATAAGACGAAAAGGGGATCTTCGCCCGTTGCAGGGTGACATCAGTTCAGAACAAATTGGTCATGCCGAATTAATTATTCAACAAGCTGTTGCGCAAGCTACCGCGCTTAATGCTGCGCGTGAAACCGATATAGGCAATGCTTCCATGTTATGTGTTGGTGAAAAAATTTTACAGGACGATGATAACTTTTGTGAAGACATGGAAGAACGAGCCGTCATATCAGATGAATTGTTCCTAGGAAGCATTCGAGGATTAAATATCCAACAGAAGGAATTATTTCAGAAAGTTTCAACGGCAATCGAAAACGATTTGCATGGACAAGAAAGCCAGCTGTTACTTTTTATCACGGGCGGTGCAGGCAGTGGTAAATCATTTCTGCTGAAATTAATCGTGGAGCACATTAAGCGTTGTTACGCACCAACAGTAGATATACTGCTGAAGCCTAAATTTGTGGAAGTTGGGTCGTTAACCGGGGTTGCCGCTCGTCAAATTTTTGGCAAAATGCTACATAGTATTTTCTTGCTTCCGATTGAAAAAAAAAATTCTATGACATACAAAAAAATTACAGGTCAAAGACTCGAGACTGAAAGGCGTAAATGGCGCTATATAAATTGGCTAGTCATAGACGAAATTTCTATGGTCTCCTATGAGAACTTAAGAATAATTCACCTAAGACTCCAAGAATACAAAAACAACGAGAAGTTATTCGGTGGAGTCAACATTTTAGTATTTGGTGACATATTTCAGCTTCCTCCGGTGAAAGGGAATTGGTGTTTTGTGCAGCCATCGTGGTTTTCGGTGGAGGTCAATTTGTGGCATCAGTTTTCTTTTTGTGAACTGACCATAAACATGCGACAGCGCAATGATAGCGAATTCATCGATTTATTGAACAGCTTACGGGTGGTGAACTGATGACGGCTCAGCTGGAATTACTATGCGAGCGGCGCCACGTCCCTATAAATGGTGAAGCCCGTTCGTATCTTTCCCACGGTCAGGCAAGTCGACGATTACAACGACAAAATAACCAAGGAAAATGCAAAGCTGCACCGAACTTATTTAATCAACGCAGTGGATGAGTCGCGTGAAGTAGCGACATATGGTAGAAAACCACCAGAGAACGTGATTCCCAAAGACGTCAATAACTGTGGTGGTCTTCTGCCATCGATAAGAATTAGCGTCGAATCTCAAGTGATGTTGAGACGCAATATCTCCGTCTCTGAAGGGCTAGTAAATGGAGCTATGGGTATAATAAAAAAAATCAAATGGCCGGCCTTGAGGAGAGATCAACTGGAGGATGGAGAGCTACCAGAAGCCGTGTACATTAAATTTGATGACGAAACTATCGGTCGCAGGCTAAAAGATAGTAATGGTTGCGTACCCATACCTCCATCAAGTACAACATTTCAGGCAGTAAGGGGTTACGGAGATGTGGAGCGCCGTATGCTGCCTCTAATATTAAGCTGGGCAGTTACAGTTCACAAACTACAGGGTACGACCCTCGAAAGAGCTGTGATTGACCTTGGAAAGAAAAACTTCGCAAAAGGGCAAATATATGTGGCACTAAGTCGTGTTAAAAGTTTGGAAGGCATAGCTTTATCAGATTTGGACGCCAACTATTAAATAAACCACACGACGACAAATCGTTGAAAGAAATGACGAGGTTACGAAATCTGTCTTCCGACAATGAAGACCACGCATAATACTCGTACACCTCAAGTAGCGCAATTAGAATGAAAGATATACCGTTAAAATCATCAATCATTATCAATGGCTAGGATGCTATGTTTTATTCCGGAGTTCCGGTGCCTAATAACTTCATTGTCAGATCAAAAGTTGTATCATAGAAATAATTTTGTTTTTAGCTTTTTAGTGTGTACCCTTTCGAGTGTTATAGTTCCGTTTTATTTCGCCGAAGATCTTAATTCGGACATCACCAAATTATAAAAATGGGACCACCTCGAAATACTATGAATCGAAATACGATGCTCTTCTCAACCACCCTTTACCGTTTTTCCGTTTACCGTTCGACAAGTAATAAATATAAGTATAACATAAAAAAAATCGGCAGATGAGAACATCGTCAATGCAATCGAAGTCAATTATATATGCATTATTAAGGATAACTCAAAAAGTACTGGTAAAACTTGGATCAAATTTATACGGGACCACACGAGAAGTACCAGCTTTCAAATAAAAAAAGAATCATCGAAATCGGTTCACCCAGATAAAAAAAATCGGCAGATGAGAATACCGTCAATGCAATCGAAGTCAATTATATATGCATTATTAAGGATAACTGAAAAACTGCTGGTCAAACTTGAATCAAATTTATATGGGACCACACGAGAAGTACCAGCTTTCAAATAAAAAAAAATCATCGAAATCGGTTCACCCAGAAAAAAGTTCTGAGGTAACACACATAAAAAAAAAAACGAAAAAAAAAAACATACAGTCGAATTGAGTACCGGCTCCTTTTTTGAAGTCGGTAGAAAATACCCAACGACGTTAAAGAGTTACCTTTAACCATGTTTAAAAAAAAGTTGATACAATGGTTAAAAGAAAATGTTTTTACGACCTAAATGAATTTATTCCTTTTTATGAAAAATTAATCTGACGTCAGTAATATGACCTGAAAGTATGGATTTTAACAATTAGGAACAGTCATTACGTAATGGGGCATTTTAAAATCTATTACTTAAATGACATTATAATATTGACATCAATTAATCTGGCTTGTAATAATCATAAATGTACGAAATTGAATTCCCGTTTGTTATTTAATTTTTTTTGCATGTATGGAAATATAAATTAGACATAATTTAATAATCATAAATAATCATATTTTATTGTGCACATTCATTCTGGCAAATAAATGAATTTGAATTTGAGAATAAACTGAATAATGAAGTTTGATTACCAGCATACATAGATAGCGTGTGCAGTAAAGCGTGTAAAAAGTACAAACAATAGTTAATGTGTTATGGCAATAAATTAATAATAATCGTATAAGGTATGCCTAAAGATGTTACTAAAATATAGCTTAGCAATTAAAATGCTAATAGCACAAATGAAGGACCGCTCCAACACTTAAGTAAAAACAAACAACGGACAGATCCATTAGCCTTATTTGAGCTGATGCAAGCTTCTGTCATACGATAATCATAAATGGGGACAGCAACGTATTTACCAAAGACCTAAACCCTGCGAAATTTATATATTATATAATATACCAACGTACGTAAAAATTATATATAGCAACATGTTGAACATAATGATTAAGTTTATAATAAAGGATATAACTTATATTAAACATAAATCAGATAAAATATAATAAAAATATTTTAATTCAATAATCTACAAGAACAAGTATTGAAAGATAGTTACGCTTTTACCACTGGTTCGGAAAAGCACTCTTTGTATGAGGGATGAGGGATGGAGGTCGTATTGCAGGCTTCATTGAAGTATTATATTACAAAACTTAGCCTTATTATTATTAGCCTAGCTTATTCGAGTGCCTTATCCATTAGATTACAGCCTTTAAAAGCCTCCAACATAGATTGGCTTATAGGGTCACACTTGGGTTGGGTGTGCGCACATCACCTGTTTCATTTTGCCTCTTTTGCCTCGTAGGACACACTTGGGACCATATAGATTTCCTTACACCATCACTACACAGTTATGAAACCTCACAATTATTATTTTTAGACTCTTATAATATAACAGATAACAACTTAATAAACCCCACTCGATCAAAATGGAATAGAAAATATCATTACATATAATAAGTATTAATGAATTAGTTATATTCTTTATTGCACACAAAATATTACCAAATACAACAAACTTAAATTTATATATTAATTGTTCATTAATTATGTGGGCTCATCGCTAAACAGCGATCTCTTCGAGGCAAACCTTGGTGGAAGAGATTATTTTCATTGAAACATACAGAAGTGTGCATAAATAGTAGACAAACAAACACACACACACACACACACACACACACACACACACATACACACACACACGCACGCACCGCACGCACGCACGCACGCACGCAGGCACGCACGTAGGCACGCACGCACGCACGCACGCACGCACGCACGCACGCAGCACGCACGCACGCACGCACGCACGCACGCACGCACGCACGCAGCGCACGCACACACACACACACACACACGGCATTCGACGATATGGAAAAACTTTCCTTCTAACATCGTAGTCAAAAAATTGATTGAAGGTGAACGGAACCAGAAATTAGGAGTTGATGCTTTGGACAGATTTTTATATTATCATCATTTAAATTCGAAGAGGTTTATGAGAAATGTTGATTTAGTGATTCAATGTCAATGTCTTCATTTAAAATAGTACATTCTCTAGATATTTCTTTAGAATAGTAGATTCTGTACTATGTAGTAGCGGTGTAAGAATATTCACTACACCATATCATCCCGTGAGTGTCGTCAGAGGCGACAGAGGGAAACAAATCAGGAGATGGGCAGCAGCATCTTGCTAATAAATACTAAAAATAAAAACAAACTTCGGTTGCAAACACGCTTGCCTAGCGTGGCAACTATGGCAAATATCTCATTTATGGGGCAATCTATAGGGAGGGTTGAATTCAGCAGTGCACTTGAATAGGCTGTAAAGGTATCGGTATGTATTGTAATGTGCATAGTATTGCTACTAAATTCTATAGACTTCGGTCATAAATTTGATAAATTAATATAACTACAAATACTAATTTGTACTACATATGACAGTAATACTTAGTAAAGTAATAATCGTAATGTGACAAACTTGGGAACGACATAAATGATAAGGAGATTCGCACATTAAAACAGAAGCCTAAAATAAATGGGAAATGATGAGTAGGTACGCCCTAGGTAAGAACTAACATAATTTAGAAGTATGAAGAGTTAATTTTTAATTTAATTGTATTGTGTTTCGCTATACACTTCTAATTTTATTACAGTGTATAATAGAGTAATTAGTACCACATTATTTAATGATTTCTTATATTTACGCGAACACTACACATTGATTAAAATTACCTTTACGGATTTTATCGCGTTTTATTTTACTTTTAGTTATTTTTATTTTTAATTCCCGACGTTTCGGGTGCTTTTCAGCACCTACGGTCACGGGGGACCATCCCCCGTAAATAAAAATTATTAAAAGTAGTATAAAACGCGATAAAATCTGTAAAGGTAGTTTTAACGACATTTTTTGTATTTTCCGTTGTCCGCTAAAAATAACAATAGGAATAATACCTACAACTTTCATCATTTGATTTCCGGAAAGGATATCCTATTGTGAAATCGCTACGTAATTTATTAATTTGTTACAGCCTGTTAAAATTCCACCACCGAACATTGGTCTCCCCTATGAGTTGCTTCATAGGTGGATGGTAACGCTGGGTGGATTAGCATCCGCAGATTTTAATTATTTTGAGTTTTGATCAGGAAAATACTGTATTTCCTGTTTCATTACCTACGCAGTATTAAATAATTATTATTTTTAATTTCTCACGATGGTAAATAACACCGATAAAGGAATAGAAATGTGATAGCTCAGGGGCTGAGCGCCATGGTATACGAAGAAATCAGGTTCGATCCTTTCTGGCAGCAATTAATTGAAATTTTATGCGCTAATTAAAGAAAACCTACACATTAATACCTACAAATACCTAAAAAAATTACTTACCTGATACATATAAAGCAGATCAAAGACATTTGATGTATGTTAACATGCATTAGAGCAGGATAGAGAATATTTCCTTGCTCTAAAACCCCATCAGTACCTAATGAGAAAAATGTGGTGAATAAAACACCGTGTACTAAGTCAAAAAGTACATGATTTTGTTTCGTTTTACTTCATTTCAACTGATTCTATTATGTAGGTTAACTTAACTAGTAATGGACGTTAAATCATTTTTTCGGTTTTAGTCGGTTGTATACTGTTTGTTTTATTGATAATGTCTAATTCATAATGTTAATCAATAAAAAATGACTAATTATGAAAACAAATTCCAAGTTCTTAAAATAAAGTTATTTTGATAATAAAATCCTTAGCCAAATAAAAATTATTTGTATTTGAAATGACCAGTACTACAGACCGGCAACTTCATAGGAAAAGAACTATTATTAATTTTTCATAAAAAGTAAAAAAGCTGGCCTCAAAAAACTCTAATAATAAAATAATTTCATATTCATTAGTCTACTAGACTTACTCGAAAATGAACAAACACATCTTGTGTAAATCAGCAGATATTTATTTCTTTTCAGCACTTAGATATACTCCTCCTCCTCCTCCTGACAGACCTCTTTTGCTTCCTTTACATCTATATATATCTACGCATACACAATCGTCTGGCCCATTTTCAAAATATCGCCAATTTGGTCGATAAAATTTCGTCTAGGGCGTCCCTTCCCGACTCTGCCTATGGGCTGAGTCTGTCTGGGGGATGATTCGGTCGCGTCCGTAGGCTTCGACCACCTAACCCTAGGCCCATCGTACACGTATTCCCTGGGTGGTGCTAAACGCTTTATATATTTTATACGCGGTAGAGCCATGCTGCAGTTATATTAGTAGTATAATTGTAGCACGAATGGGTC